TGTCGTGGCAGTGTTCTCGCTGAGGTGTTGCCTAAGGCTCGCAGCATGGGTATAACCCTTCGCACGCAAGTTGCGCATCACTTAAACAAACATGCTGCTGATTATCGGCCCTTGTGGCAAGTTGACGATAAAACAACTGAGAAAATGGAAGGTGGCCCTGTTGCTTCTGACTGGACTTCTTGGGTTGAGAGCGTGAAGCGCCCCCCCTCGTTGGGTGTGTGGTTTGACTTTAAAGGCTGCAGCCAGACGCTTGGGCTTGAGAGTGATAGTTGTTCAGCGGCCTGGTGACTCTTGGAGCTTTCCTACGGCGTTTGGTGGCTCGTCGGCTGGTGTTCTGGAGCCCTGCTGAAGGAGATCTGAGATCGTCAAGAACACGGTCACAGCGCGCCACATCGTGGGCGTTCAGGGTATGAGGATGGCCGCGATGGAGTCTACCTATGTAAAGAACTGTCGAGTCAACCATGCAGGCTTCAGTCCGGCACAGTGGGTGATGGGCAAACTGCCTGATGATGTGACAAGCCTCACTGTTGAGCAGGCACCCACACGTTTGGGTGTGCATGAGGAGATGATGACTGGTGCAACCGAGTTCGCTCAGCAGCTGAACATCAGGCAGGCCGCCAAGGAAGCCTTCGAGCATGCCGACAGCAGCCGCAGGATCAGGACGTCTTTGTTGAGACGCTTGGTCTGCTTCTTCCGACTTGGACGTTGGTACGGCCCAGCTCGGGTCATTGGACGTGAGGGAAGGAGCAATCTGTGGCTGATCCATGGTGGAATACCAATCGCCATCAATGAGGAGTCACGCAGGCCAGCGCTACAAGGAGAAGTGGTGGCAAAGCAACTGATCGAATTGAGGCCCTCGCGGAAGAGGAGGAGACAGATCATGCAAGATTGTCCCGGAGAAGGTCTTCTGATGAAGAGGCCCAAGACTCTTATGTGGACATCGGACCAACAGGAGCTGGAGGAGGATGTCATGATGAGTGAGCTCCTGGACAACCTGAAGCAGATCCACCACTGCGAATGGATTCGACGGCTGAGCAAGGATTTGGACGAGGTGGCGGCCATCCCAGTTCCAACTACAGGACCAGATGAACTTCAAGCACCACCTGGACTATCATTAGACGAGGAGACTTGAATTCGATGAGTTTCAGGAGGCGATGAATGAAGCTGGCGGGGAAATGCCGAGGCACTCTTCGGTCGAGGAATTGGACATTGAGCCTGATGCCAAGAGGACAAGAGGAGACTACAATTACGACCTCTACACCTTTGCAGCAGTCAAAGTCAATGTGGAGATCCTTGGACGGACTTGATGGACATCCCACTTCCAGCTCTTCACCTCGGAGGCAACGATCCCGGACACCGCCAAGGAGCTTCTATGCCACTCAGAGTCGAAAGCAAAGAACGCAGGCATCTTGTCTTCGAGGTTCCTGGCCCGGAGGACCAACTACAAGAAGAAGAGCGCAGGGAGCAAGGAAATCAACTACACCAAGGCTTCACAGGAGATGCAGGCAAAGTTGAACATCTTTCGCCACAAGGAGTGGCTCAATCGGACCAACTTTGAGGAGCGTGCTTGCGGGCTATGAGGACGCCGGGCACCTGAGCATGGTCATGGATGGACTATCTCGTCGCCATGATCAAGGAGATCCTCACTGGCTCCGTGCTCAGGACAACACAGAGGTGGTCAAGCTGACGGACTGTCGGTCCAAGTTGGGCGAGGTCAACGCCAAGCGCTTGGCCATTGACCTATGTGGCATGCGCCAGATGGTGTGGCGTGGACGCAATGAGGAGGTAGGTGATCCACTGTTCAGCGACAGGCCGCCAGAAGATGCGACCACGCGGGTCTACGGGATCAGCGCGAAAACGATGCTGGCGGACCCGCTCACGAAGCGGATGGATGGCTCCATCCTGCGGACCGTGATGGACGGTCAGAACCTTGCAGTGGATTTTCAAGGGACCAGTGACTATCAAGTCAAAACTAAGACCGGTGTGAAAAAAGGATGTGCATTCATTAGCACACCTGGATAGTCACTGGTACCGGATACTCCATGAGACTGTCAAGACCGCGCACTTTTGCCGTGGCTCAAGAAAAGAGCATCGCTTTGTTTTGCTGTCAGCTGTGGATCCATTCCACATGTCAGTTTTCGAGGGTGGGGGGCCAAGTTGGCCCAGGCCTTTTCAGGGTCCATACTTTCTTTGATCACTTCGACAAATAGGTGTAGCGAGTGAAGTGATGCACCCCAGGCCAGCGGGAAAGGTGAGCCCGATAACACACCCACAGGAGTTCTTCGTTCCCCTAGATGTATCAACAGTTCAACATGAACTAGGTCTATTGAATCTTTAGTGGACGGAATAGACATCGAGCCTTGCACATTCTCCAGATGTTTCATCGCTCGTCGGTTGGAGGCCATCGCTATTAGGCATGAAGGCCATCGCTATTAAGAAACAAAGAAATAGGAACAGGAAAAAAGGTCTAATTCTCGTTTCTCGTTTCTCGGTTTCTCCAGGCAACGCCGCTACGTCACCACGCGCATCGACTGCTCGACCAGTGGCGGGAGGTCCAAGTGGGGTAGCCGCCGGTCTGCTCCGTCGCTGCCAGGCGAATGCACGGTGTAGTGGTTCATAGCACAAAAAATGGTTTCCTTCACCAACCACTGGGCTTGATGCGGCCCTTTTCACGGCTCCTGAGGGTTAGGGATGCGCGAATGCGCGGGGACACTAGAAACTGGTACCGACTGGACTTTCTACACTGGCAGACAGGAAATCTTCAATCTTGCTTTCAACCAAGTACTGCATGTTTATACCCCCGACATCCCCACAGAAACTGCTGCAGAAAAATATCCTTCACCTCACCACTATAGACACCTTAAGGATACCTGGTCTCCTGAACTGTTTGTTGTTTTCACCACAGGTGTGGGATGTATCAGGTGCCCGCTGGTCTGTCGAAAGGTGTGGAGTTCTTTGCTCTCTTTGTTTCCGGAGTCCCCATATCCCAAAGCAGTGCTCTGCATAATTCCAAGCTTCCCCTACGATACTAGGCCGGTGGTGTGTGGAGCTGAGGGCAAAGGCATGGACTTGGGCTGACCCCCACTCTGTGAACAGTGGAACACCATTCAATGCAAGGCTTCAGGCGTCCTTGCTCTGGAGAACGACCACCATGGATCTGAAGGGGACAGCCTAATTGATCACCCAATCTGGTTCTGAACCTCCAGCAACCTGGAGCGGTGTCCTGGGCCCTTTGACAATGCAAGCTTCCTTTTTTTTGTCAAGCAGCATGGCATGGCACCATGATTGGTATGACACTCCTTGAAATCCCTGTGGCATCGCATTTTCTAGAACAGCAGACAAATGGTTACACCATGCTTTCACAGGAGTTCAGGGTTGTCGATGCTCGAGGTTCAGCCGGTGGTTGCTGTTTTCTTCGCTGACACCCAAGGCTAAGGGTTTCTACCGGTAAAAAGACGATCCCTGAGGCTTGTCAATGCTGGGCAGCCAGGGTTCCCAGTGGTGGAGATGGAGCACGGTTCAGAGTTCTGCCATTGAGTGTGGATCGAACAGGTTGAACATCAGACCTTTCTTCCTTTTCTTTTTTCTTTGTTTTCACTAGCGATGGCCTCCAACCTACCAGTTTGACTTGAGTTTTTCAACCAAGAAACCATTTCTGACCATCTTCGCTACATCGGGTGGATGGGCGGTCCATTCAGGTGCGGCGAGCCGGGTAGAGTGGTCCATGCGAGACGGGTGCTTTGACGGGATCCGACGAACACAGATCTCTGCTGACTAGTAGTTGTTGAGCAGTGCGGTTCTCTGCCTCTCGCAGAGAGTATCTTTGGAACGCACAATTTAGACTTTGAAGGTTTTAGTGCAAGATGGGTTCTGGGAGATTTGCATGATTCACTCAGTTTTACCCTTCTTGACATTGATCAAACAAACATATATATATATATAGGTGGCTTGGCACCATGCTTGCTTCAAGAAAAGCTTACTTCGCTCCAGGGCAACGCTGTCAAACAGCTTGTGGTGTGTGGTGACGTATTTCATCTCCGATTCACGCCACCAGAAGCTTCTGCTCTCGGAATGGCTTTAAGGGAACTCCGAGGCGTCCAGGCACGCACGTGTGGAGGGCACGTGTGGAGGAAGCACATGACTCAATGAAAAGAACTTCCAAATCGGTTGGACTTTTTGTTGTGGTGTTCGTGTTGTTCAAGTCTTTTCAGGTCTGGCGACCCATCGGCAAGTGTTTCGTTTCCTTCGGGTTTGGTGCCGCTGCCGTAGCCCTCAGAGAAAGCTTGCGTGTGAGGCCTCACGGTCTTTCTGCTGGTCTTTCGCAGGGCTCCCGGAAGATGCAAAGCCATCGAAGCTCTGGGTCTGGACAGCGACAGATTTTGCTTCACGTGGTACGTGGGGATATCCGGCTATGAACATCCAACACCAGATCTATATATTATATACAAACATCCAACCAAAACATTCATCCGACGGATTTTCATTTGCAGATAGTAGTCTATTTAACCTTTGCGGCTCGCCCAAGCTGAGCAGAGGCTGCTCCACTCCACAGACTAAGCTGACAGGGCCGGGAGTTTTTTTTTTGGCGAGGAGAGAATCCGCAGGGGTGGGACCGGGTCGCGAACGTGGCAATGGGCGAAGATGACATCAGGTCGCGCACGTGGCATGTTTCGTGGCGCCCGTGGGGAGTTTTCGAGAAGAATCACCAACGGGTGTTTGGCAACTGAAGAATGGACGCCATGAGGGAAACCTTAGGTCCTGTTCCACCAATTTCGCCAACAGCAATACCAGCGTCACAGATGCTGTGTTTGAGCCCAGTGGGCTGTGTTGCCCTCAAAAACGATCAAATCTGAGTGTGTTGACCACCGCCGTTCTGCAGCCAGTTTTTTCGTCGCGTCCGAAGCCCCGAGCGAGAGGCTTCGAGAACAGCGCAGGTGATTTTCCTAGCCACCGACTCCAAAGTATCTGAAACAAATGGAGTTGCCAGGACCCATCAGGACGATATCAACTCCTTGAATACCTCTTCACTGCCTTCCCAGCGAAAAGACTCGCCATGGCGATCACCGTCGGGAAGCAGCACTCCATCCACAGCGGGTCCTCCTGTTCGCTCAGTCCGGGGCGAAACCCCAGCGCCGATGGCGCTGAGGGTGTGGTGCCGCACGAGCGGGGTCAGTGGAGTATCATGGCAGTCCACTCCAAGCAGAGCTTGTTGAGGTCCTCGGAGAGCTCGAGCTGCTCCGAGCCCAAGGAGCGCTTTGCAGTAGCGAAGCGGTATTTGCAGCGTATATTTTTCCGGGTGGGTGGGGGTGATTTCGCAAGAAAAAGAGTGAGAGAGAGAGGGAGACACTCTTGTGTCTTGAGAAAGAACATTTTTGTAAATGTTCATTTAAATCTATCATTTGGTGTCGCTGTTCTTTTCTTAGATGCAGCAGCCTAGCAGCCGAAAATTCAAGATTTATTGTCATCATGATTATCTGGATTCAAGATCTATTCAATGTTCAGATGAAACCTGTAAGGCTTGTATCTTACTAGCCAGTTCTTTGTGCCCAAACCTTGGCGATGGGTCATGTAACCCTTTTTGGTGGCTGGACTCACAACAAGCCCCTCCTCGGTCGTTTTGCCGTTGCAACCTGAAGTGCAAGAGGCACTTCGGACCATGTCAAATCCCATGTCAAAGAGTGCCAGCGAAGATGAGCAAGAACAGCATGCCAAGGCACCAGTGCTGGGGGGTTTGGGTTGAGAAGTTGCTGTGAAAAAGCAGATGCTCCTCATGTGCCTATATTTGCAGACACCGGAAAGACCTCGAATGACTCCCCCTCAAAAGGTGCGCACACCACAGGATCACACCTTTTCAGCTGTTCCTCACGGGGTCTTCGCGATCATCGCATCACTCGTATCAACTGTCCTGGAGCGCAAGCTTTTCCTACCATGCTCTGCTCGTATAGCACAAGTCAAGTGGTCAGCAGGTGAGAGGGATTGGGGTTCAAACGGCTCAGAAGTACAACTTCGTGAAGAGATTTGGCTGCTGTGGGTGTTTAGACTTTACGAAGCCCCTTGACAATGCTGTCAATTGTTCAGAGGTAGCTCACAGAAGAGAAATCGTTGTTTTAATTTCACACAACCAGTTGGATAGGGGCCAGCTATACACGCTATAGAACTACCCTCATATACTGTATATAAGTAGTTCCCCTACCATCCGCTAAACATGGATACTTTCAATTCGTTGTGCATGGAATTTGACGCTGCCCGCCTCAATCGCAGGCACGTAAGAGCCTTTAGGGTCGTTTTGCTTAGCTACTTTACCACAACGTAGAAGTGGAACATGAACCAGTGAGAGACAAGTTTCCCCACACTGCATAGCCTACCACCTGGATGGTTTTCGGGCAGTTGTTTTGCTTTATATAATTTAAGTTGGGCTTGGACAACTGGATCTACCACTGTACCACCACAGTTGAACCCAATATGCTAGAAGTCCTTTTCAGGGGAGTGGAATGGGAGGTTGCTTCCTGGAGATGGGCTGCCCATGTGTACCAGGGTTTGAATGAAGCAGCTTACCAAACCTCCTTTATTGTAACTCTACACGCGAGAGAAAAAAGAGAGGGACTGAAAAAGATGATCAACACCAAGACGATAGTGAGGTTTATTTAACACCAGGATGCTCCTTGGTCAGATTTCACCTAAAATTATGTTGTTTGAAGCGATCCAGAGCTCAACATCTCACACTTCCTGGTTTTGAAGCACTTCTCTTTCAAGGTGGGAGTGACCAACTGACTGGTGAGAAAACAAAAGGAACACTGATTGCACGCCAGATCTGTTTCCTTTGCAGATTCAATGCTGCAAAAGAGTCTCATCTGTTCGTCCTTCCAGTTGCCAACTTGCCCCGCTTTCGAAGACATTCACCACTTGGTTTTCCACCCCAACAAGAACCGTTCGCCGTTTGTCCGCATCTCCTACGGCTGCTTACACTGCCGACCACGTGTGTCAGGTGGCTGCCTATGTCTCCCGCATGGAGATCGTCAAGCCTGAAGTGCTCCGGGTCACGCGCGCGCACCAGGCCTTCCAGGGCTTCGCACGTGCGCTGCGACCGAGCCCCGGAGGCGCACCGAGCGATCGACGGGAGGGAGCGAGTTCGTAGCACCGATGGAAATCAACTGGCTCAGGAGATTAGACCATGAAGATCCATGGAACGCCGATGGTTTGGATCTTTTTGGGAGGTTGTAGACGCGTTCGGGCGAGTTCAACGGGCTCCATAGCTAAAGCAATTTCTGGGTATCGGTGGACGGACCGTAGACCGAGAGAATGTTCGACAGACCGGGCTTTGCGTCTGAAGGGCTTAGAATATTGACTCAGAGGAAGCCCACCTGCCACTGCAGTTCCATGCCGATCCCGGTTAAAGACCAAGAGCCCCGTTTTCTTTTTCTCCGATTCTGAGGTGACCTGTACAAGAAGAGCCAGATGAGCACCGAAGTGTCCAGCTTTTGGTCTCATTCTTGGCACGGTGGGCACTGGACGAAGATTTTTTCCCTTCTCATGCACTACAATGGGCTGCCTTCGGTCCTTCTTGGTGCCTTGGCAGAAGCCGAGCAGCAAGACCCCGAAAGAATTGGAGAAACCGATGGTCGCTGAAGCCCTTGGAGAAGACTCGCAGTTGCTCCGCATCCTTATCACTTCGAGTTCTCTTGAGCAACCCTTTTTTCATGTAAGGAGCTGGTACTAGTAGCTTCTTGCTGCTAGTAGTATGGCCAGGAGCCCCTGGTAGCGTCCTTGCTCCTAGTAGCGATGCCCTTTGTTCCTAGTATAAAGCATAAATCCCAGATCGAGTAGGATTGGTAATGTCACTAGATTGGTCTGAAAGTCTTACCTTGTGCGAATGCTTGCCCACCAAGCCTGTATTGGTTTCGGGTGATATAGATGTGACGTCGCTTGCCCTCCGTCGCCGAGCGTGTCGTACCGATCGAATGTCAAGCTGAGCACTTTCCTGTTTCTATGCAAACCCTCGAGCTCGGTAGGACGGCATTACTGTACATATGAATGCTACTTCGACTACGAGTACGAGAACGACTATTGATACTGCTGCTACTGCTACTTCTACTCCTGCTGCTGCTGCTGCTGCTAGAGTACTTCCAGTACTCCTACTCTGGTGCTACAAAACTCTCGGTGCACCAGCAAGCGACCTTGCCACAGGATTCTCGAACTGAGGCCTCTTGGCCGCTGTTGTCATGGCTATTCTTTTTGGCTTTGGCCTTCTGCCGGGCATCGTAGCTCGGCAATTCGTTTTGGACACTCCCGCAAATCTGTAGAAGTGGCTCTTAGGCCTTGTTTTGCCGAGGAGATGGTCTCGTTTTGGGTTTTTCTTTTCGCCCCGGTGATGGCGCACAGGAAGCTGACGGGATCGGGCACGCTTTTAGGGGGATTTGAGACTTCCCTGCCACTTCGTCTTGGCAGGTAGGAAGGAATTATGAGTCATGAGACACATTCTTTCAAGAGCCGCTTCTATGACTTTTCTCGAAACCGATCTTCCTTTTTCTCGATCGAGTCAGGTACGCTTTTGGAGTCCTGAAGACATGCAGTGGTCGACCTGGTCCAGCTGCTTCGGCTTTCTGGTCTCCGTGCTGAGTTTTTTCCTCTGGCGCTCTCAGCAGCGGGCCGCTGAGCTGAAGTGATTGTTTCTGGGGGTAATTTCACTTGGCCAGAACACATGGGTGAAGCATCAGTCTCTACCAGTCTTCGGTTCCCAAAAGGGGGGCTGTACACCGAAGAGGGCGAAGCGCAAGCGAAGCGAACCGGGGCGAGCGGAAAAGAGCAACCGAGTCTTGAAGGCAGGCTGATCGATGAAGTTCCTATTGTTTGTGTGAAACAAGACAAGAGACAAGAATACATGGGAATTCGGGGAAGACCACTCCGGTTCCGAATGGAAAGGGACGAACGAAAGGTGCGGAACCCTGGGTGTGGTCAAAGCCAAATAGAATCAAAGCCAGGAACATCCAGGAACCGAACCACACTCTTTTTGAGTCTTTCTTAGCATTGTCAGATGAAAAAGACTCTCATGGTTGCTTTGTAGAGCAGACGATGGTTGTCCAACTCGAGTGAAACTCAGTTCACCCTTCAAAATGAGCAGAATAGTCCACCCCACACTGTTGAGCGTGCGACTTAACATCAACCCTCACTTCGTCTTCTGTCTTGTGTAAGCCAGGGCTGCCCTTTATTCCGAATCTTGAATCACGGTCTCTGTGGCAGTTTGCCAGGTCTTCCTGGACCGGATTTGCATCAATGAGCACGACGAGGACCTGAAGTCTGCAAGTATCTTCAGCTTGGCTGGAATCCTGAAAAGATCCAAGGACACATGGCAAAAGTTGGAACCTAGAGATTTGGAACCTAAAGAACAACCAAAAAGATAATAGAGGGTCAGACGAGTGCACAGACGGTCACACTTGGTCGTTCATACCATCACCGATCAACCGATTTTGAAGGTAGATGTCTTGAACGCCCCCCGCACGGAGAACTGTGCGTGGTTTTGCGCACGCTTCGACCCACGCTACAATTTTATACGATACATCAATCTTCTATTCTGGAGCGTGGGGGGTTCAAAGGGGCCTTTGTAGTATGTTGCTCAAGTTGCTGCGATTGTCATCTGATTGTCTTGATGAATGCTGCGTCTCCAAGACAAATGGCGTGCTTCTTTGCTCGGTGCGATTGTCAAACCCATGCAAGAATGTAGGTCTCAATATAAGAATCAACATGTGAGAATATGGGACCTTGCGTAAGAGACCTACAAGTACAATTACTTCGGAGAATCATGCGGTTTTGGCCAATCAAAGTGGGAACGAAGAAAACAATCTTTCACCACGGTCACTTTTCGGGCAATGCAACACTTGCAAGATTGAATCTGCGACACAGAGGGTTTTCCGTATGTTGCGATGCTTCTGTTCATGCGTTTCGATGGATTCTTCCTCCGACACATCCTTTGCTGCATTGTTTTTATTCGGACAGCAAGGGAAGAGCATGTCTCTCAACTCCCTCGACAAGAGGAGGGAGAGGCTCCAACCAAGTATATAACCCCTAGCAGTTTGCAAAGTTTCTCAGATTACTTGCAGCTTGCAAGCTGACTCCCGACTCAGGTTACTTCCTCTTTGGCGGAGGTTCGCGAACCACCAATCATGTTTTCGAAACACAGGCTGGGGTCAAAAGACACTAGCCTAGATCCCAGACAGGACCAGCACCCAACCTCTGTCCAAAGCGTACACAGCCACACATCGCACCCTGCAGCGGCACCAGCACCCAAAGCACGGCTATAGATCTGGCAGCGGCACCCTGCAGCGGCACCAGCGGCTATAGTTGAAGTGAGAAACCCCGGTAGGTCGTGCTATCTGGGGAAAAAGCACGTTCAATCATCGTTCTAGGTGTCGGACACATCACCGAAGTTGCATGTCCAGAGCCCCTGCGTTGGACTGAGGAGATGTTGGTGCTTTGGGACTCCACGTGGAGCGATCGCCTGTGGTGTGTCTTCGAGCTCAGCGCTTTCTTAAGGGCCAAGCAGTGCCCGGAGGCGCCTGTGTCCACGGGACAGGGTTTCCGTAGGTCGATACGCATGGGATTTCGGTGAGGGTTCTTTTTGTGCTGTTTGGGTGTTCACTTCCCATGCCACTTTGTTAGATATTGGGTGAAGATCCTGTTGTGCTCCATCCAATTGCTCAGACAGTCTGATGTGGAAACCCGAAAGGATTCCTCGTTTCTTCGCTTTTTGGGGGGGGGGGCGGGAATCTTTCCAGAGTCCGTCCGGGCCCGAAAGACCAAATCGAACGAGGCCAGCCAGCAAGTCTTGCTCATCACGCCGACCTTCCTTGGGCCATGTTCTGTCGCTCTTTTTGTGGGTGCTTTCATGGTCTGCCTACCGATCACCACCGTCTCAACGACCTGGATATCCAAAAAAGTGATCACAAAGGCAGGTTTCTCAAGTTTGCACTTGTCGGTGACACTTCCCATCGGCGCAGCGATCCTCTTGGTGATCACCGGCGGCTACGTTTTAATGATAGCCTTCCGCAGCTATTTCCGCTCGGTGGAAGAATTGAAGGAGAAGTTGCAGAAAGTCAGTTGTCGCACCGCCAGGTGTGGCGCGTCTCGGGCGAGACGAAGGTCAATCTGACAACGACAACTGATGGGAACACCGTGTTTTTGGGTTCGGAGGGGTGTCTACTTTTTGTTCCATACACCTTCATACTTCATGCGATGCCTAGGTTTCGAATCATCAAAACTATGTGCAACCCCAAAAGCCAACAGGGATACAAATTGTGGAACTCACAACTTTTGATTATTTTGAGAATATCGGTAGATCCCAGCTTTCCATTTTAGTCACTCAATCATGTTTGTTTCAACAGAAGAGCCCACACTCTTGAGCGTTTGCTGAACCCCCTCCTCAGGTGTTCATGCTGCGACTCAGGGCACGACATCGGTGGCGTAAATGTGCTGTGCGACCGAAAGATCGTGCAGGAATGTGTGACGATTTGGTTTGGCAGTCAAAAAGACTTTGAACATTGCGCGCGAACAGAGGTCCTGGAGGTGCTGACACGTGGATTAGAAGAACAGCTCCTGACCAGAGGTGGGCAATTTGACCTGGGGCCGACTCCAGTTAGCCAGTTCAGCAGACCCAATTCAACAGTGACAGTGAATCTTTTTGTTGGTCTCCCAAAGATTTCCATCAGGTAGACCTTGCAGGGATTCTTTCTGTGGTTGTGCACAGATCAAGAAGTGTACATACCATTGCACCTTTCTCCCCAGATAGCTGCAGGCTATAGGGGTTCTATATAACTTCTCAATGGTGTGGCTCTGGATTGGCGTTGTGGTTTTGCGGGTGCTGCTGCCGTGCTGATGCTGGTGCAGGCGCAGGTGCTGGCTCTGGATCGGCGTTTTGGTTTTGCAGGTGCTGCTGCCGAGCTATGCTGGTGCAGGTGCAGACGCTGGCTCTGGATCGGCGTTGTGGTTTTGCAGGTGCTGCTGCCATGCTGATGCTGGTGCAGGTGCAGGTGCTGGCTGTGATCGGCGTTTTGGTTTTGCGGGTGCTGCTGCTGTGCTGATGCTGGTGCAGGTGCAGGTGCCGGCTCTGGATCAGTGTTTTGGTTTCGCAGGTACTGCCGTGCTGATGAGGTGCTGGCTCTGGATCGGCATTTTGGTTTTGCCGCTGCTGCTGCCGTGCCGATGCTGGTGATGGATCGGTGTTTTGTTTAGCCGGTGCTGGTGCCGTGCTGGTGCAGGTGCTGGCTCTGGATCGGCCTTTCGTTTTGCGTCATGCCAGGATTGACATCATGTCATGCCAGGGATGACATCATGTCATGGCATCGTGTCATGCCAGGTGACATCACATGTCATGGCATTGATGACCTGATGTCACGCCAGGGATGACATCATGTCATGTCAGGGGTGACATCATGTCATGTCATGCCAGAGATGACATCATGCCATGCCAGGGACGACATCATGTCACGCCAGGGGTGATGTGCCGTCATGTTGTGCATGACACAGTGTTGCGCAGCCATGCTTATCATGTCGTCTGGGCAGCTTTGGCTGGTCCTTGCCGATCTTGCAGTTTTACGTGCATATTGGTGGACCGTCCGTGGCGTGTCCTTCAAACCTATACACCCGCTATCTGGGTCTATGCGGGTGTATATCTTACCAAGAACAAGAGCGGTTGAAAAGGCGATTTGGCGGCCGACTTCTGCAGGCTATGAACTCAACGCCAATCCTTTGAAACCTTTTGAAGGGCTAGGAGGTTGTTGGCTTCCATGACCTCGCTGGTACCATGGAGACAGCGAAGGGGGCTCTCAAGGATGTGAAGGAAACCATGGCGCGCCGACTTCGAAAACCAGCTGGTGGTAGTGCTCCTTTGAGGAGGGGAGAAAAGGATGGAAACCCTGGAGACCAATCCGTTCTGGAGTGAACTTCGGTCTTTCGGTGAAGGTGGTTCCATTACCTCCTTTCAGTCTCCACCGCCGACAAAACCGGATCAGGGCAGAAAGGAGAGCTTCACGGAGCAGGCGTGGCGATGCTAACCCTCGTGGAGGAGCTCATGGGCCCACCAGCTCGTTACGTCCGAGGTTTGGCACCTGAACTACCAGGATTCTGGAAAGATCAAGGGTAGGATCAACATGCTGGAACTCTTGGAGGGAACGATCCGTGACACTGAAAGGTACAAGATGTCCAAGTTCGCGGAGGTGAAGTTGGAAACAAACCACTGTTGAAGCGCAATCGGCGCTTAGACAGCTGGGCAGTGGAGCCACGGAGGGCAGCCCACGTCACTCCCAAGGCCTACGATAAGGAGATCTGGGCAGTTGCATGGTGGGGGATTGGAAGACACTTGTGCCGCCGGTCATGAGGGACCCGTGTACGGCCGGCAGCCAATGGTGGGATGCGGTGATGGGCAGTGTGTTTGAAGAATATCAACAATGGCTTCGCGTACGTCAAGCCGCGGACTGCTGAATGCTTTCCCCACAACGTTCGAGACAGAGGTGCTGGCCAACAGGGCGACCGGAAGCATGGACATCATCTTCGCAATCTTCGTTCGATATCAGCCCGGAGGACTGGGAGAAAGAGCCCGCCTTCTTCAGCAACTTTTGTGAACACAATAACGCGCCTCAGGCATTGGTTGGATGAGATGCAGCAGCAGCTCTGATGCTTGAAGAGGGCGGAAGAGCTGCAGGTGTCTACGCCCGATCCTAGGTTGTTGGTGGATAAGACATGAGACTTCTGCACGGGCAGCGTTCTGATTGAGTTACTTCGCTGATGCACTTCAACAATGGCCTAGAAAGGGTTAAGGGCAGAAGGATTGTCCAGAGCCGAGATCCAAGTGGATGATGAGCCACCACAAGGGGAGTGGGAGCAGCTTTAAAGCAGGGGTGCGAACCCTCTGAGTGCGGAGCTGAGGCTGATCGAAGATGGAGAAGGTGAGCTGGAGAACCAGGCTTTCATCAAGGCGCTCACGCAGGAGGTTGAGGAAATCACCGGACACGACCGCGAAGACGGTGAAGGCTGGAGGCGGTGGAAGCAGCGACTTCGCAAGGCCTCTTGCCAAACGCAGATGCACTCTCTTGCTTCCCCAGCAGTGCAAAGAGTGCGGTGCACTCACGTCGGACACCCGGGCAGTAGACCTGGTGATGCCCAACAGAGCTGAGGAGTGTGGATCCCAGCCAAGGCCTTTCCAGAAAGGCACTATAGGACACCCCAAACGTCCAGCATGCAGGCCGCGCTGCGGCCCCAGCAGACTCCGCTGCCAATGCAACAGTGGAAACCTGAAAGGCAAAGGAAGGGTTTCCCAAAAGCCTATGGCGCGCCCCTCAAAAGGGAAAAAGCACACGCATGCCACCCACAGTGGCAAGCACACACTTTTCTCGAGCGAGCCAAGGCTCAAGTGCTGCGGGGTTGAAGAAGCGTGAGCGCATGATTCCAATCACATGCTTTCGCACCCCTTTGTAAGCCAAGAGCCAAGAGCGGTTGAAAGGATGATTGGCGGCCTACTTCTCCACTTTCCACCTCTTCTCAAAGCCCAAGTCACTCGGGTTTCCTTCCCAACTTTTGTCCGGATGTCTTCGGAGTGCTCCTGTTTGCCTCGAGGCTGGAGTTTGTCGGTGACGATGCCAGTCTTGTGGGCCTTCCTGGACTTGGCCGCCTCTTTTGCGGCCTTCGACTTCAAGAATCAGGCGCTGGAGTTTGCCATTGAGGGCTTTGTGCTTTGGTTCCTGGTGGCGCCCATCTTCATCGACTTCTGTATTTTCCTGGCCTCCAGGTGGGGCGGGCAGTCTGAGGCTGAGGTGTGAGCTTTCCAGGAAAGAGAGTTTGGAGCCCCCCAAGTGAAGCAGAGGCAGATGATTTCACCTCTTTGGGACCTTTTCAGGGATAAGCACAACAAGCATGTGAGCCAGTGTAGGTCCGGAACATCGTGTGTCGTGGCGACTCAGACACATGCAAGGCAAGGCAGACTCAGACACTACATATATATATATATATATTTGTTTTATTTTATTTTTATTTTTGTTTTCTCCTTTTTTTCCAGGTACTGCCACAGGGCCTCCACCAGCTTTTGGGACTCCTTGAAGACGTTGGGCCTTTTGTTTCTCGCCATGGCCACCTTTGCTACCTTCGCAGGTGCCTCGGCCGACTATTTGTGAAGAGGTTTGGGAGTACCGACCCTCGCTGCTTGTCAGAGCTGAACCAACTCCATTCACTGGACTTTGTTAGGGCTGTCCAGTGGAGGTTCATTTAGCATAAACGAGTGTATAGCCGTTTGGACGAAATCCTTGCAGCGTCCATTCAGTTCTTGGGGTTTGTTTTGCCTCGGTTTTGAAGCACTACTGAAACACAAACTCGGCACTGACAGGGCAATTTGGTGCTCTCACCAAATGGGTGAAGAACTGTGTCCAAGACATGGGATTCACTATTTTCTTCATGCTCCCCCCAAAAGAAGGAATGTTAGTGGTGTACGATCTGAATCAACTGAACCAAATTCCGGTCACGTCGACGTCCAGACCAGTTGAGCATCGCCCAACTCTGATTTGATCCCTTCGCGATTCGTTTGCATCGCTGGACCTGGTAAGAACTGGGAAACCCTTCTGTTGTGCATGTTGGAATGGATTGCGAGCCCCTCAAGAAAGTCACAACGGCTTTCACCGCAAAACAGCGAGTAATGAAAAGGAACAGACTTTGGGAACTCAATGAACATAGCAAAACAGTTTAACACACAGGTGGGCTCAAACAAAAGTTGGGGGCGGCCGATCCCTACCACATGTTCGATGCTCAATCCATCATCAGTTCGCACCATTGAGTGTCTTTCTGGGTTGAAGTTGGTCGACACCCAGAGAGAATACACGAGATACCTAGAAAACAGGGTTCAGGTCGACACCCGGTGTGACCCTTTTAAGTCGGACGCCACGAAAGCAACTGTTGCGTGCCCGAAAATGCCCTGGAATCCAGGTAGCTTCTTGCTTGCCCGACTGATCATCAAGCCGGGGGGAGTCCTGGCATCGATTTTCTGCGACTTTCCGGGTGGCTGCGGCCATCGCCGAAGCTAAGAGCCTCCAACCTAACAGCGGCCTCCAACCTAATGACAGATTTCGTCACCAGTTTCCCATACAACTTCAAAAGTAGGGAAACTAGACCGCCAGCCCTCCTTTTCCGGAGCAGACCTGCCCAGCTGCTCCACTGGTGCAAAGTGCAAAACGTTGGGAGTCAAGCTGTGAAGCTTTGGTACGGTCTGGATGACCCTGGATGACGGGAAGATTGCTTTCCAAATCGCCGCAGGGGTCCTGTGGCAACCTGCCCATCAGGAGATGTCCTGGTTCGTGCTGGACTCTTTGCAAGCTTCTGGGGCGTTGTGGCGCTCTGCCATTTTCTCTACAGATCCAAAGGACAAGGTTTCACGAAATGCCCGCTCTCATGGTGGAGTTGAAGCTGGCTGCAGCTGAACTGACATGCGAAGGAAAAGGTGGGTACAGTAGGGGCTGCCTTTTTCAGCGCGTTGCGGGAGTTCCTTCGATCTTAAAACTAGCCATGCGTGTGGGAGGGCATGTGAGCCCGTTCCAAATACATCGATGCGTCTCATGGTCACCCCAAGAGCTGAACTGCGTCCTTCGTCTTGAACTCACCACTTCGTCGGCAGTACCGTGTTGATCGGACTTGGGCAGGGTCACATCTCCAGACAAACTGGCACACGGATTCCGCCACAAAGGCACTACAACGTCACAAAAGCCGAGACTGAGCCCAAACTGGCGCCCCTAAGGCATGAACCAGTCGATGGCCCGAAACAATGAAGCGGAAGAAAGGACCGGGCGTCGATGGTCCGGGCACCGTCGCACGGTCCGCAACCGGTTCCGGTTCCGGTCGAGCCCCGTCCGTCCGTGCCAGTCGGTGGGGATTCTGCCGGAACGACTGGCAACGAGCGCAGCCGTGTTTGTAAGCCAAGCTTTAAAGAAGCCCCGGGGGGGACTTGCGGCACAATTGGAAGGTAAGTGGCTTTGGAACGAGAGGCATCACTCAAATGGCATCAGTTTGCGCTTGAGAAAGGTGGGGATTTGATATTTCCAGGGTATTATTTTCCTGATTTGCGGGTGACACTCACGCATGAAATGGTCACATGACCACCATTGACCACCTTTCTTCTTCTCCAAGATTCGTGGTCACATGCCATCGAAACCATGGTGATGTGTGAAGCAAGTGATTCGGTCTTTTTCGGATACCAGTGGCCTCCACCCTAGAAGCAATGGCCTCCAACCTACTAGCGATGGCCTCCAACCTACTAGCGATGGCCTCCAACCTACTAGCGATGGCCTCCAACCTACTAGCGATGGCCTCCAATCCTCTTTTGGGCCGCCTTCCTCAATGATCCGCCACCGACACACGCCCATCGGGAACCGGAAACAAAGCGCTTCGGCGTCGCTGCCGGGGTGGTGAGGACGGACGCGATGTTTGGAGAGATGGACTACTTGGCACACTCCGTGTGCCACTTCATGGCAGGTCCGGGTTGGTTGGGTTTCTTGGGGTCCAACCAGGGATGGGTTTCTACGGCATAAATGATCCATAGATGGACATGTGTGCATGTATGCCTCAAGATGCTAATTCATTGTTTGTTGCTTAACATTTAGTCCACTTGCCCTCTTCCACCTCTGGTTTCTTTTTCCTGGCTACTGGTGATGGAGCCTCATCCGCCATCAAGTCTTTTTGTAGCTTATCAGATGCAGAGGTTTTCTTCATCAACACGACACACGCCTGTGACCTGGACGGGACAGTCTCCATGCTGAGTCTTGGAGTTCTTGGATGGCAAATGCAGATAAATGTAGTGTTTGTGAGACATGAACATGTCATCTTCCAGGAAACCAAACAACACCCATTATTTATTTACTATGATTTATTGGAATCTATTTGTTTAAAAATCTCAACATTCTCATCGGCTAGATATCCAAAAATCTATCTTTGAAGACACGGTAGAGTTTTGTAAGCGGGCGTTGTTTTGGAGTGATTCATGAACCTTTCTCCGCTCTTCTCGTGAACTTGCTGTCCCTTTTCGCTCCGGACCCCCCACCCTTCCCCTATTTCCACTCTTCGACCGGATGTGTCCACCTCCTGTGTCCTCGTCCTCCAACGCCAGTCGCTGGTTTTGGAACATCGCAGGCGCACGGGAAGATCATTTGCACGATCTCTTGCTGCATCCCAACGTGCAGTACACGGAGGAGGTCCCTGTCTTCTTTCTTTCCGGTCCCACAGGGGTGGGGAAAGCGCGCAGCCAAACACCCCGTGGACCCGTGGACCCGGGACGTGACCTTGCGTTCTTTTGGGGAGAGACAAGACGAACATGTCGGCACTGGCGGGCACGCCGGACGGGACATGGACATTTCAATGTCGTGGGTTCGGATGGGGACATCGACAGCGGGCGATGACTGAGACGGTCTGCTTTTTTTCGCGGGAGAGATGAAGGAGGCTGAAGTCTCACTAGCAGTTTATATACTGTGGTGGTATGTATGACGTACCTTCCCGTTGTTTCAGAATCAAACGTTTTGCTAGAGCATTTCGTCTCATTCATGCAGAGGGAACTTCACTGAACTGCACTGCAGGAAGACTACACACGTTATGCAGATCGCTTTGCAAGTGCACACAGTAGATGAGTAAGATATTGCAAGGTTGTGTGAGTGAAAGGGAATGCTTGAAGATGAATCAACTTTTTCACAACTGGTAGACTTTAGCATTTTTGCAAACCTTCCTTCGAAGTTAGCAGCATGGCACAGTTTGAAGTGCTGCGTGGTGCTTGCGCTTCCGCCTTGAAGATCCAGTTGCAAAGTGGTGCTGCAGTGTCTGCCGAGAACGATGCTTTGGTCTCGAAGACTCAAAACGTGGAGATTGGAGCAAGTCTAGGAAGTGGAGGGCTTCTGGGTGGCCTCTTAGGAGGTGCTGCACGGAGTTTCTTGACCAATGAGTCCTTCTTCCTGCAGACCTTGAGATGTCGAGGGGGGTACCGGAGAAGTTCTGGTGGCCCCACAGGAGCAGGGGGACATTGCAGTGGTCCGTCTTGGTCAAGATTTACCCGGAATTCTGGTGACTCAAGGCGCTTTCCTATGCTCTGAGGAGGGTATTGAGATAGAAACCCGAATGCAGGGTGCTACCCAAGGCTTCTTCGGAGGAAGTGGATTCTTCTTGATGCGTTGCCGTGGTCGCGGTTGTGTGGGAATCAGTTGTACTGGCTCCTGCATCAAGTACGAGCTGCAAGCTGGGGAAGCTCGCGTGGTGGACAACGGACACCTGGTTGCCTGGGGCGATGCTGTGAGCTACACGGTGGGCATGGCATCGAACTCTCTCTTTGGCACGGTGGCCAGTGGCGAAGGCCTGATGTGCACCTTCGTGGGTCCCGGTCCGGTGTGGATCCAAACTCACAAGCCCACAGGATCACAAGGTCCGCAACGGGCGAAGAAGCCCAAATCTGCAGGTCCGCAGGATCTCATGGTATGTGCCCTCTTTGCGTGTGTGGTGTTCATGATCTTTGCCTTCCTTTTGATGGTCTTTCTCGGCAACTTCGACGACGGACCTCGGAAATCACGCTTTCAGATTGACCTATGAATGTGTGACACGGAGCCTGTTGGCATTTTCTTGCTTGACACAGGCTTCAACCGTTTCCAGAAAATAGGTCAAGCTGGCTGAAGCCAACCCTTCAAAGTCTTGATATCTTGAACAGCTTGTTGGAAGACTTCGGCTGACACGGCGAAGACAGTTCACGACTTTGTTCGCTTCAAAGGGCCGTGTGTTGGCAAAATCAGTGCTCTTTGGATGAGGCCGTTGAAAAAAGATGATTCAGCCCGCGAAAACAAAGGACCAATACTTAAGTCTCCCTAAGAATCTATGAATCTATGAACCAAATCAATAGTGGGAGCGTGAGCTATCCTGCGTCCTAAGTAGTAGCCTACTTGTGGTTAGTAGCTACCTCTTCTACTAGCTAGCCTACCTCACCTCTACACGGCCTACCCCCCCTTAACGAAAGGTGATGGTAAGGGTCAATGGCAGCGAACACCGGAGGGTCGAAGACGAGTCGTCACCACACGTCCGGACGCTCTCGTCCGGAGGACTCCGTTTTGATATTCGACACCCTTCTCAACATTATTGGAATTGTTAACGTTTATTTATTTTATATTTTTAGCCCGGGGGGTAGGCCGCTAGTAGAGGGAAGAGGTACTAGGTAGATAGTAGCTCAAGTAGCTACTACCTTGGACGCAGGATAGCTCATGCTTCCTTGAAGAAGCGCTAATAATTTGGTTCCTAGACTTCTAGGGAAACTTAATCTATATGCTTCACATCTTCATGAATTTCGGTTTCATTTCGTTCGAACAACTTCCGTATATAAAACTCATCGGATTTCGTCGGATTTCCATGGCACATTTCCCAGCGGGATTGCCAGGAGATCAAAATGCTTCGGCTTCAAGGAGAGCTTGCAAGCAGCTGGGAAAGCAGAACATCACGGGTCGCTGAATCCCCAAGAAGAGGTGGATTGATCATTTGCTGGATGAATCTGGACGAACATCCACCAGAAATCGGGTCCAAGATCGGCCTTGCTTTTGGGATTTTTGATGCGGATTTTTTTCCGCAGACCCGACCCGGGAGAGATGGAGAGAGGGGCTGATGGACTGGACCCGGAGAGATGGCACCATGGCACTGGTGGAGATCAGTTGCACCGGGAGATTCTGGAGACGCGGAGACGCGTTCAGCGAAAGCTCCAAATGACCCGTGGCAGGAGAACACGTGGCTACTAGCTACTAGGCTTTCAGGTGTGAATTGACTCCGGTATCCATGCACCTTTTTGGTATTCACGTGCTGTCCCCACCACGTCGCACTCACTTGATCACAGTAGACTCAAGAGATTTACCAAAATGTGTTGCTCCTTTTTGCAGGATTTACGCACATGTTGTTCAAAGGCACATCACTAGAAACCTGAAAGAACCCCTTCGAACGAAACCCCCATGTGTCGAGTCGTCTTGAGTCGAAACCCAGGCATTGTCCGCGTCCATGTGGTCCGCCTCACGGTCGCCTTTGGCGTGAGCCGCACGGCGTGAAAGGAACCGCGTGAAAGGCGAAAGACACGACGTGGGTGGAACTGAATGGAACAGAGCCATGCATTTGGTGGCCTCCCCGTTGATCTCTTTGTTCTTTTGCCTCTCTGAATGGAACAGAGCGATGGACATACACAGAGCATACCCGATGCCGTCGGCTTGCTCCGGAGTCCCGAGTTCCACGGGTTGGCCCTCGAAACCGGTGGCGTTGATGGCGACAAGCGCCAGGGGGATGTGAATGCAAACGGACTTGGTGGAGGGTCTATCGGTCTACTAGTATCTCCAACAAACGAGTTATTGTTTCATGCAACATGGCCCGGTGGGATTCAATATCCACCAACAGCTAGGGTTTCTCCATTTGGACGGCCATAGAGCTTGTTGGTTTTTGAGAGTTTGCTTTTGCTCTTGGCTTTCTCAGTCTGATCTTCCGCTTCTGGGTTTTCTCCCCAGCCAGCAACTCTAGCTGCCGTGAAAGACATCGACTGTTGCGTGACATCCCAACTTCCGTGCGTGCGTTGATGTTGGGCAACGCCAAAGTGCTACTTGGCTCAGGCTGCCTCTTGTACTTTCGCTTGCTGACGGCTCTTGCTGAAGCACAGGGCGAAGTGGAAGACGAGGCACACGACGTCCACGAGAGTGGCAAAGATTTTTTCACCTCTTTTGGAGGCGACCAGATCGGTACCTTCTAAGATAGATGGGCGAGCATCCGCTGGTCATAATCGGTTTGAGTTTAACTCATCCGCTGGTCATATATTCATGATGGAGCAAAGGGCATCGCTACTAGTAACAAGTGCATCGCTTCTAGTAACAAGTGCCTTACTAGTAGTAACAAGAAGCGACTAGTAACAATATATAAATTATAATTCAATTAGAATCAAATTTAATTCATCTGAATTTGGTGTCAATCGGGTCTGGGATTCGTGTGCTTCCTGCGCTCCAACTCATCGGCACTTCGGTCGCACATAGGAGTTGGTCCAAATCATTTTCCTCTACGCCCGGTTACAGTCGCTCCTCTATGAGGCGCCACCGTTGGCGTTGGAGGTTGGGACGGTTGTAAAGCATGGTGAAGCTGCATGGGACTCGGGGGATTTGATTGATCCTGAAAAGATTGCCATTGGTTCGTGACTCTTAGACTCTTGGGACCAAAGTCTTAAGAGATCAGGTACCTCCAGACGAAAGGCTTTTTGATGCCCTCCGCGAAGCATGCTTGAGTCAGTGTAACTGGAGCCCATCCGCTTTGGATGGGATTTAGTCTTCTTGCCCACTGGAAGTTTTTCTGATGGAATTTCTCAGCTAACTTTAGAACTTAAGACATTCTTTTGTGGATTTAACACGTCTTCCTTCTTCCATCTCCGGCGAAGGACCCCTAGCAGCTAGCAGCTACCACTTGCTCCGTCACAGATGATCGAATCACTGACCTCCAAAGAAGAAACGCTCATCAAAAATCGGAAGAAACGTTGCTTCTTGTGGCTTTTTACGGACGGCCCGCGCTCGAGCCGGACCAGCCGGGACCAGCCGGGACCAGCCCGACGACGTCCGTTGGCGGGTCCAGCCCCCCTTCGTTTCTGGGTCCAAGCGGGTCCAACGTGTGCGGTTTGTGCAGGAAGAGATGGAGCTGGTGGATAGATATGCCGGGAGAGCCTGTTGATTGGACACATGGGACATGTGGCACATGTGGCAGTTGGTCTGGACTCCATGCAGTTGTACAGCATGTGGCTTTTGCAGCCACACACAACCGAAGACTAATACAAGTGTTATCATCATACAACTGACCTCATTTCTTAGCTATATCAAGGGATATTGAATAGTGGTACCCGCTGTCGTGGCAACAAGTTCAGAGCTCGGTTACTTGACACAGCCTCAACATCAAACAGAACAGCCAAAAAGAGTGCTGATGCCAATGTTTCAATCTTTTCTGGGTTGTTTGTCTCAATCAAAACCAGTTTCTTGTGTGAAGTGACGAAGTGGAGGTGCTTCCTCAGTGAATCGGAAGAGTTGTAGGATGCGGTGGTGATATCTCATCCAGACAAATATGGCACTGTAGGCTAGCGGAGATCAGCAACAGATCCACGTTCCAAGCTGCATGAAAGGAAAGTCTGCTTCAAAAAACATGAGGGAGACCACGGGAACGCTGAAACTTGCACCTGCAGGAGATTCGAAAACACAAAGACCAGTGGGGCCTTGCCAACCCAGCAGGACATTTCTTGTCCTACCTTGATGTTTGGGAGTCTTATCCTGTCGATCAGTCCAATGGGCAGAAAGAAACTCTTCGAAGGCATCCAAAACACACCATTTGTGACCGGACCCTGACCCTGCTGATCATTGCTTCTTCGGCTTGGCGGTGGTACGTTTGTTTGGACCACGGGGAGTCTAATTGGGTGAGCCTGCTTTCGTGTGCTCGGGATGCACACTGTATATATATATATATATGTACACAGACCATATAGTATGTCATGTATGTAGATCGTATATATAACTATAAAACATGTAACACACACATATATATATATATAGTATGCATATATATATATAATTCACATACATACATACATACATACATACACACATACATACGCATACCTTTACATTCTTTTGGATGGCTCGGACTCGCCGGATCCTAAAGATGCAACAAACAACAAAACGATTGCCTTTTGGGTCGGTCTCATTGATGTAACGGCTAGGCGGCGCCACAGCGACACCAAGAGAACCAGATGACAAATCTACAGATCGGCGCTGCAGACTTTGAAGTTCTCACCATTTCTCACCCTACAATCTGCCCACCTTTCCCCCTCGCCCAGATGTGCGTCAGCCGCGAGAGCGAGAATGACGAAGGCGCGGCGACATGTGATGCGGAAGACGCGACGACCAAGTTGAGACCATGTGATGAAGTGTTCGTTGTGTCGACTCTTAATTGGTTGCTGCTTCTCACTGTTCCAAACCCTAGAGGGCCTAGAGTGCGGATGGACGCCAATCTGCATGGAGTGTTCCTCAGTTTGATCGTTCAGACATCAGGCCCTGGAGGCCCTGATGCACATGTTGGTTGGGAGATTTGCCACCCAAAAACGGGTTTGCGGATGATCTCTTGCATTCTACAGTGGCTTGTTCCATGAAAATCAAAGACAATGCAGATCTCATCTCGAAGACTCCCGATCCCTTTTTTCGACCGAGTCGACTCCCGTCCCCAAAAAGCCTTCGGACTCGACCGAAGGCGGGGCACAGTACCGTGCCGACGTCCGGCGGCCGAGCACCGTGCGTGACGGCGCGCGGAAGTCTGGCGGAGGTGGTGGAACGATCGTCAGATAGTTGAGACTCAGGGTTTGCTATTTGTTGGAGGTTCCAAGTTGCAATTAGAGATAGATCTATTTAGGATGGAGTGGTTTTCCTGGTGATAGATAGAACAAATACACTTTTTGGGACCATTTATATATATATATACTCCAGAATGACTAATTTGAGTAGCACTCCAAGTGCTTTTTCATTGCATCCTAAGTCTGCCTTTGCTCTGACTCTTACAACTCCAAAGCCATAGAACAGAAGGAATCCTTCTAGTTCTTTGTGGGCTTGAAACATCTGGCGCATGCAGCTTTGAACCTTGGCCGCTTCTCGCGTTGTTTTGGCTTCTTAGCCCTCAAGCATACTCTCAGCAGTTTGTGTGTATTTCCGCTTTGAACCTCCAGCCATGCGCGAGCTCGTGCACGTTCAGGGAGGACAGTGCGGCAGCTCTTCAAGCAATATTCCATTCATATTATGCCTTTCGACTCTCAGGTGAAGAGGGTTGCAAATGTGTGATTTCAACTTTAGTGAACTGAGGCAACCAGATTGGTGCCAAGTTCTGGGAGGTCATTGCTGACGAGCACGGTATTGACCCAACAGGAGATGGGAGGGGAAACTGCCTCATGTTGCAGAAACGATGTCGAAGGAAGGAGTGCACCAACTGGGAGGTACTCGTAGCATATAAATCTCGGCTATACCAAAATTGATCTAAACTAGACTCTATGCCAGCCAGTGTTTTCTTCTCGAAGCCCATCGCCCTGCCCCTCTGCACGGCTGGTCCATTTCCCAGGAACCTATCATGGCGACTCAGATCTGCAGCTTGACACTTGGCGTGACGGATTCGCCTATGTTCAATTCTGCATTTGAGCATAGCGATTACCTTCAGCAATACCTAGCAGTTCCGGGGTTATGACGCCTTTCCTTGAATTGGTTCAGTTTTTGGATGTTTTTGGACCTCTTCAATGTTGCTTGACTCGAGAAAGCCAAGGAGCGAATCAATGTCTACTTCAACGAAGCAACCGGTGGACGTTATGTGCCTCGAGCTGTGCTAATGGATCTTGAGCCAGGCATGCAAGCAGAGCTTCATTCTTTTTCAACACTGCTGTGCCACGCTGTGCTGTGCCACTGATTGCCACTGTACACATGTGATCATGGCGGCCATGTCGCCGTATCATTGTTCCAGGCACCATGGACAGTGTTCGAGCTGGCCCGTTTGGACAGCTTTTCCGTCCAGACAACTTTGTGTTTGGCCAGACTGGTGCTGGAAACAACTGGGTGACTTGAATTGGAAAACATGAAACGGGTTCCGTGGCGATGGTTAGAGCGCGAAGCCACAAGGGTTCTTTGGACTTGTCTCCACGGACACTTGGACGGACCAAATGCATGGGACGTTTCGGGACGCACTGCAAGTCAGTGCGTGAGTCGGCACTGCAAGGCGAAGGGACACTACACCGAGGGAGCTGAGCTGATTGACTCAGTCTTGGATGTTGTACGCAAAGAAGCCGAAGCTTGGATGTTTTGCTACACCAGACAGTCACCAGTATTTTTTCGTTCATGGTGGATCACCATGCACCATGAGACACCAAAATCATGCCTGGTTTGCCCGGTTTGCGAACTACTAGTCTCCATGATTGGTGGCTCCGAGGAGGGCTGCGATTGCTTGCAAGGGTTCCAACTTTGCCATTCTCTTGGTGGTGGCACTGGTGCAGGCATGGGAACGCTGCTGATTTCCAAGGTGCGAGAGGAGCACCTGAGTCTCCAATAGGCAAGTTTGCTTGGTTTCAGCTGAGGGAAGAGTATGCCAGCACATGGTGAGTCAACATTATGTAATATATATATATATACACATATAATATGTATATATCCAAGCTGAACATTGAATGCTCTCAGGTACCCTGATCGTATCATGGAGACATTCTCGGTGATTCCATCGCCAAAGGTGTCTGACACAGTGGTCGAGCCGCATCTTGGGCAAAAAGCCAGGTACTTTACTTTAATTTTGAGCTGGTTGCCTGAAACTTGAAACACAGACCCTTTCAATACATACTTTCTTCAGGTACAACGCCGTGCTGAGCTTCCATCAGTTGGTGGAGAACTCAGATGAGTCCTTCTTGCTGGACAACGAGGCTTTGTACGATATTTGTTTCCGCACTTTGAAGCTCACCACTCCAACCTACGGCGACTTGAATCACTTGGTGTCAGCAGCAATGTCCGGTGTGACTTGCTGCCTGCGCTTCCCGGGACAGCTGAACTGTGACCTGCGCAAGATTGCAGTGAACCTTGTGCCGTTCCCTCGGTTGCATTTCTTCATGACCGGCTTTGCGCCTTTGACTTCTCGTGGCTCGCAGCAGTATCGTGCACTCACTGTTCCAGAGCTCACACAACAGATGTTCGATGCGAAGAACATGATGTGCGCGGCTGATCCTCGCCATGGCCGCTACTTGACAGCAGCTGCTCTCTTCCGCGGCCGCATGTCAACAAAGGAGGTGGATGAGCAGATGCTGAACGTCCAAAACAAGAACTCTTCCTACTTTGTCGAGTGGATCCCAAACAACATCAAGGCATCTGTGTGCGACATTCCACCAAAGGGACTGAAGATGGCCGTGGCATTCGCAGGCAACTCAACTGCCATCCAGGAGATGTTCAAGAGGGTGGCAGAGTACTTCACTGCAATGTTCCGCCGCAAGGCCTTCTTGCACTGGTACACTGGTGAGGGTATGGATGAGATGGAGTTCACTGAGGCTGAGTCGAACATGAACGATTTGGTCTCGGAATACCAGCAGTACCAGGATGCAACTGCTGAAGAGGAGGGTGAATTCGACGAGGAGGAGGGTGAATATGACGGATGACCAGGTGCCTAAAGCACTTGCGATGTCTTCCTTCTCAAGTGTCGACTTGTCTTGCTGTTTGACGTACTGGGGTAAGAAAAGGTCTGTGAGCGCACACAGGAATCTGCGACTGGAATGTCATAACTCAGTTGCTTGATCTGCCTAATGCAGAGGGTTGATTGGAATTTGCATGACGTTAACAATTATTTAGCTACTAGTCATTTTGAATCCATGTGTCAGATTTGGTCGGGTCTGAAGCGCTGTGCCGTGGTCCTTTTGTCCGATAGTGAATATTCTGGAGTCCAGCCGCAGCCATTCTTGCCATGGCCCAGAGTCATCCATTTTTTTTCTAATTTCGCGAACATAGCTCGCGCCCAGTTCATCGCAAAACAGACGTCTGTGTGTGTCCGGTCCAACGTCTCTCGTTGTCGTCAAAGCGAGCTCGCTGAGGTGAACCGCTTTCGCATCGCGCGGCAGCGTGCGGGGCTACTGCCGCTGGGCCGCGATGGTGATGGTTGGAACCGCTGGGTGGGGTGTCTATGGAGAAAGACATAAAAGAAGACAACTCGACAATTTTAGTATTAGAGATGGTTTGTATTCACTCCTTTTGGGGAGAGAGGTCTGCGCCGGGCACATCCGCCCGACTTTGGGTTTTGAAGTCGTTGGAAGGTGCCCATGGTTCGCCTCATGATTGCTGGACCTCACTTGGAGAGTCCTCTCCACCAAAAATCCAGGTATAGTCAATATAGTGACCCAAACTCGGCCATTGATTGGGAGGCCAATTTGGACATCAGCGAATTGCACATCTGAATCTAGGTACTGTATATATTGGTCATTATAGTGACTATTTGTTGTACACGTTCGTCCTTTTCGCCCCAAACACGCCTCAAGGCGGGCCAGGGCGCCGGGTTCCAAAAGGGCCCAAAAGCGCACCAGGAAGAGTCGACTTAAAGCATCCTTTATGTTTTCCCCGATCTGAGGGATTTGCAAGAAAGGAGTTTTCAAGCAAGAAGACCTCTGTTTGCCTCAAGTGAGCAGACTTCAAGCAACGTCAACCTTCAACCGACCTCAGCGTTTCTTCTTGTTTGGTTGGAGTAACATGAAGCAACAGGCTTCCCCGCGGGGTCGCCGCCAGGATTCGCCCGCGTGCCGCTGGGGACTTGAGCGAGGAGGTGGGGTGAAGAGCTCGAGAGATGAACGGGTTGAGACGAACGAGTGGGAGAGTTCCTCCATCAAGGAACTACTTAAGCTACTAGTAACAAGTGCCTCGCTAGTAGTAACAGGTGCCTTACTAGTAGTAACAAGAAGCTACTAGTAACAAGTGCCTCGCTAGTAGTAACAGGTGCCTTACTAGTAGTAACAATGTTTGCTATTAGGAACAAGTGCCACGCTAGTAGTATCGAGTTGGGTCCATGGAACTCACCATCTACCTCTTTCTTCCGATTGCAATCTTGGCGATGGTGATTGCCTCCTACTACGGACCACAACGAAGAAGAAACTGCCGACAAGTACCTTGACTCATGAAAGGAAGCCCACAATCCCATCAACTAGGGGCAGTTGAGGGGCATTTGTGGATCGCCATCCATCCATCCATCCATCCATCCATTCATCCATCCATCCAACGCTCCATCGCTCGCACCGGCCACCGTGCTCTGCCCACGGCGCATCCGACACAGGGTGGCCAGTTTGTGCCGCAGACGAGTGACATCGTGCTCCGGCGGCAGTTGGATGGGACTTTTTCCGCAGGGTGATGCAGCCAATGGCTTCTGTGAACAAAGACAACCGGAAGTCCAGTTGCTTCTTGTTTGTAAAGCCGAGATGAGCTATTTTTCTTTTTTCGTGAGGTGTTTCAAGCGCATTTGTTTTGTGACAAAGGTGTTGAGGGGAGGGAGGACACGCAGGTGGTGTCCATAGCACTTCGGAAGCTGTTTGGAGGCTGGGGCTCCGCCGTTTCTTCAAGCGCAGGCACTAGGACTCTAGGGCCCGGAAACCACCTGGGTTCCTGCGGTGCGTGTGTTTTCTTTCATTTCTACTGGGGCGTATCCTTTTTCACCACTTGCGCCACTTCCGTTGGTTCCGTTGGTGACCAAAGACTCAGACTGAGCCAGGCACATCCAATCCTGCGTGCAAGATCGTTGTTTGCGTCTTGGGTGCTGGAGCCCTCGGTCAAGGCTCTTTTTCGTGGGGAATCCGCATGTGACGGCGAAGGTCAAGGCTCCTTGAGTACTGCGAAGAGGGTGTGTTTTGCCTTCGTTGGGATGGGTGCCCATCCCACCACCGATTCCAACATGACATTACTGAGATGGGCACATTTTCGCACATGGCATGATGGCATGGATTTGGAGACGGAATGCGCACCAATAATTCCCAAGGAATCCACAGCAAGACCTCTCAAGGCCCTTGCTCTGGGCGCACTCAGGTGCCTCCCTTGCCCAAGGCCGTCCAGTGGGAACTCGGAGCTGAACTGATCTAGAAGTTATGGGTGATTTTGTTACATCCTCAGTTTTTGCAGCCCCATGCAGCTTTGGAGGATAAGCTGATAGATACTGTAAGCTTTTGGAAACAAGCGATGGACATTCGCTTGGAGGGAATAGGATTTCTATTGATTTCTTTTGCAAATCAACTACCGTGCAAACGATCTTAGGGAGCTGAGCCCTACCGTGTCATATGCGAACCTCTCAGTTTTCTCCTGGAACCAGGAGGGCATAGGGGTCACATCTAGAATCTAACAGGGTCAGTCTGGATGGCTCAGTGGATTTTGCGTCACGTTTGGAGCTTGGCGAATTTCGTGGGCTTTGGCGTGGCCTAAACAGTCAAGTCATGCCACAACGACGCGGGATCGAGGTGGTCGGTTGAATCCAGACGGTGTGGGATCTGTGGGGATGGTCCAACGGTATGTGTTCAAAGCCACCAGTGTCCCCTGGCACATCATGCATTTCAATACTGGTCTCTTCCCTCACATCATGTCAATAAGACTTCCCGAACCCAAGAACTTCGCCGGCGATTTCCAGAACACGGAAGGCCACTGGTCTTTGTTCGAGGGTGCACGAGTCCCCATTCCAGCGTGAGAGGTCGGCATTCTTCAGTTCCAGGATCTTTTCGTCGACTGGGATTAGCTTGAACATCAACCAGAATGTTTTGTGCGAAGAAAAGCACGTTCTGTTTAATTTAAAACTTATTGTCTCTCCAAGCACGGGCCAACCAATGGCAAATGGGGAGTGAAACCGTGTGCAGAACACCGCGCAGAACCGCCTGGAACCGTGGAAACGGGGAGACCCTTATCGGGACCAGTATGGATCGATGAACACCGCCATGATGGGTCACCTGCAGCGTCACCTGCAGTGGAGCAGTCACCTCGAAGTCTTTTCACCCGGAAACGCTGTGGTGTCCGTCCCTGGACGGAGACGAAGATCCCGCAGCCGATGGAGCGCCCGATGGATCCGCGACCAGGTGGTCCTCAGCATGTTGATGGAGGCCTGTCACCTTCCCATGGGCCAAAAGTGGGGCTACCACGAGCGCGCCGGGGCGCCCCAACCGCGGTGCACGGGTTGGGTGCGGTGCACCGAGCGGTGCACCCTGTGGATGTTTTGTGGAGGCCGTGTGGATGTCGCGGGCAACGCATGTCATGGTGGAGGGTCATTCAGCATCCCACGATTCTGTGAGCATCCAGTGTGACAGGTTTGTTGTTTCAGGTTCTTGTTTCAGAACGAACTCGAAAGCGAGCGATCGGGGTGTATGATTTGCCAAGCCAATCCAGTTCGGATCCAGCTAGCACCAGTTCGGCTTCGCAGGAGAAACCCAACATGTTCCACCCAGTTCGCGTCCTCAACGCACCCGGTTTGGATCTGGTCCATCCTGGGGTTTCGCTGAAATTGAGTGGATTTGTATGTTCAAGGGACCTGGATTGGGATTGCACTGCTTTGTTGCACCAAAACGGCGGTAGCGACGAGGTCCTTACGATCATCTCCTCGATTTGTGCGGCTACTGGGCAGGGTGGGTTATCGATGCGGATGGTGATTGGTTTTGAAGGATGAACGATGATGAACGCGGTGTTTGCTGATCTCATGGCTTTTTCTTTGTGAAAATGATGTTCATGGCTGGTCCAATCGAGAAACCGTGTGCCCACTGAAACTGTGCTGCATGAATCGGCATCAAGTCGTCGCTTGGTAGCTGCTACGGGTGAAGGTCTGTGAAGGTTTGATGCGAAGCTTTCGTAGAGTCGTAGAGTGGCTCAGAACTTGCATGAAAAGTTGAAAAGATCCCTCTATATCCCTCTGAGGGAGGGATCTTGCCGGAAGAAATGGGTCCACATGGTAAAAGATGGGAACCCGATGGGTCTGTCACACCCGCGAGACAAATATACATATATATATATATAACTGTATATAATATCCATGTAGATTTTGGCGATATATATATATATATACACATTTTTTTGGTTATGTCGTAGTAGTATATATATAAGCACCCCCGTCCGAGGGCCTCCAGCCTTCGGATTTGCTCCGGTCCGACCGGTCCAACTAAGAGCAAGGACGCTACGTTTGGGGCTCCTGGCCTTACTAGGAGCAAGAAGCTACTAGGGGATACGATCAAGATGACATCGGTTGGGTGTGATGGTTCCCTCTTGATCTTTGGGGTCGTGAACTATGCTTCTGGAAGATGGTGTCAGGATTCATCTCGTTGAGATGCTTGTCGATGTAGATGAAACCGAGCTTGGCTAGGGCACCAGGAGAGACCCCAACAGTGCCAGTTGGTTTGGTTGAAATCATAAATAATGCTGCCAATTCTTCCGCCAAGCCAACTAGCCTATTCCTGGCAGATTTGAGACCACATCCCAATGGATACAAGGCACCGATTTCCACATATTCCTTTCTTTGCATGGCTTTGAGTTCTCCAATCTGAGCAACACATGCTCCACATGCGGGGCCACTTGGAGCGTGTGTGCCCGGCGGTTGCGGGTCGCTGAGGATGCGCTGGATCAGCTGACTCACCTCAGCGGGCTCATCATGAGACCTGTCTCCTTGGCTTATTACCAGTGCCTTGGATCTGAGTTTTCCTATCAAAATGGATACGGCGAGAGGAGTTTGGGGGGAAGGGGAGAGACCTCGGTGCAGAGTGAGATGGTGGGAGTTCCTGCGTGATGTTGAGAGAGGTGCAGGTCACCGTAGGTCCTGTATGTTGAAGTGTGAGCCCTGCAAAGTGTGACCCGCAAGTGTGAACTCCCAAAGCACTTGTGATTTTTCTCTGTCATTTTCTCTCCACTTTCCTGCATGTGGGGTAGTGGGGTAGTGGGGTAGTTGGAGGTCGCAGGAAGCACAATGGCAAGGGGTTGTAAAGGGACCTGCAGAATATAGCTGAGCCTCAAACAACCAGAGAGCTCCAGGTTCTTCTACAAAGAGGCCATTCACATATATATATATATATTACATACATTATACACACATGTCAAAAACACACTTGATTACAACAAACTTACACCAGAAGACCAAAACACACGTGCCCCTTTTGGGCCACACAAATACCGTGAGTCTGGGGTGATCACACCGTGCTTCCATCCGGGGACGGACTCGGCGGACGCACCGGTCCCAGGCATTGCCGCGTGATCGTGGTGCGCCCGCGTCTCGCGTCGCCGGGATGCGCGGCGCGGTGAACAGCTCCGCGGTGGGTGAGCAGGAGGTGAAGCATGGTGGAGCTATTTCACGTTCCCCCAAAGCTCTCAGCCTCCCCCCCCAAAGGCTGAATGATCAAGTCGGGTGGAAGGAAGCTCGGTGGGGGACGGGATCTCCGATCTTTGGGATCTCCGCCAGGTGATCTTCAGCTTCATGTGGCCCATGGTGACCGCTCTAGGCCGTGGTCGTCCGTGTCGACATCGACCGGCTTGTGGAACGGGTTCAAGATGGAGTTCCAGCGAAAATTGTTGGTTGTCTTCCCATTGGCCTTAGAACTTTTTCTAGCTACTGTAGGATGTCATAGGAAGACTATCATATACAAATATATCATTGCACTGTGGGCAAAAGAGGAGTTCTGTCCTTTTTGGACTGCCATTCTGAAACTGAACTCTGTCTGTGACCGAACTCTATCTGTTGAATTGGGTCACTCCGAAGTTTCGTCCATCGCCCATGTCATGTAGTTAAATCAAGAGGGATCTTGTACCAGTTGGCGGTACAAGTCTTTTCGGCAAGCCTGTATATCAATGAAACTAATCACGCTTGCTTGCACACCATCTGATGCAATAGAATGCACAACTTCGAAACCACTGCTGAAGACCATGGCCCCCGCCGCATCCTCCCGGTTCCTTTTGGCCCACTGCGCACGGCGCAGGCGAAGATAACTTGGGTAGCATTTGCGCCTCTTGGACCTGTCAAAGAGCTAGTAGAAGGGGATGGAGGACTTTGTACACGAACATCTTGCCGTTCAAATACATCGCCCCACCCAAGGGGAGTACTTGCTGAGAGCTGGCCTCCAACCTGGTGGAGGAACATGCACCTTCGGTCTATCTACCAGATATGGGTATGTCCGGATCTGTCAACCATCGGGAGAATCCATCGGGTTTTTCGCTCTGCTAAACCAAATTTTCAGAAGGAGTACAAGAGCACGGCAGGCGAAACCACCTGGTCTTTGGCCTTTGGTACTCGCAGGGCTAGCGCAAGGAGCCAAAATAAATCTATAAAGCAAAAACAAAGCAAAAAAAAGCAAAAGGTACAGCAAACAAAACAGCAAAAACATGTAGTTCGTATTTGTCGCTTTTTTTCATTTTTTTTTTGCTTTATTTTTGCATTTTTTCGCTTTATTTTCGCATTTGTTCTGCTTTTTTTTTTTGTCGCTTTTTTCCTAGGAGGGTACAGCAAATATTGCTGACGGGTAAAAGTTCTCATAAGTGCAGAAGTGGTACCAGGAAAAAAGCAAAAAAAGCAACACAAATGCAAAAACAAAGCAAATTGCGCTGCTTTTACATTTTCATTTGCTTTTGTTTTTCTTTTTATTTGTATTTTTGCGTTTTTTTTGTGAAACCATTATTTGATGGTTGGCCATGTATGGCTGCCATTGGTCAACATAAGACTGGTTGGTCGCCGCTAGCTTGGGTGGGCTTGTTAGGTTTCAAAGCGGGCTCCTTAGAACAGCTCACATGCACTAACGTTGACGGTGTGACAGAGCGTGCTTTTCGGCCCAGCCAAAATGGCCCCACCTTGCAGAGGAAATGATGCGGAGCGGCACTCAATGCGAAACTCACGAAAATCCAACAAGAAGCTAGTAGTAACAAGTGCCACGCTACTAGTAACAAGTGCCTTACTAGTAGTAACAAGAAGCTATTATAGTTAATATTAAAATTCTACTAAATTAACGAGCGGCTCGTGCTGTCCGCTGCAGCGAAACGTCTCCGACACCGAGGACAACATTGTCTTTCCCTTCGTGGTCTATTGGGTGACCCGGCGGACATTTTGAGAAGCCAGATCTCTACTTCACAAGTAGCTGTACTAGTGGGACCTGCACTGGTGGTACCCCTACTAGTGGTACTAGTGCTATCTTCACTAGCTTGGTCGGTTTCAGACGTTAAGCTTAGCCACAAGCAGATGTCACACCCGGTTGGTCCCTTTGCCTTGGATCACGCCGTGTTGCTTGATGTAATTCAGTGTATAGAGATACTTAATTGATTAGCTTCCTTTCTAGAAGACTGTCGCCTCAAGCACTTTGGAGGCACGGTGCATCTATGATTTTGTGGAGGGGGACCTTGAAGTAGATTTACGATGATATAGGATTCCGCTGCACGGGTCTCATAGGTCGAGGGGCCTGATGGGTGGATCCCAGAGTGTTGATGTTTTTGCCTTGACTGCACAACCCAAAACATCCAAGGGATACACGGCTTTCGTAGATGGCACAGCCAACTGAGGTGCTGAGAACGGGTCTCCCCATCCAAACAAGACCTTGTTTGGTGTTCTTGCCATCTCTATACTCTGATCCTCTGTTTCGTCTCGTTCGGAACGATGGAAAAGCAGAGAAAAGCACCGCGACGCAGCAAGTTCCCAGCAATTCCAGCAAGTTCCCACTGATTTCGCAGCAACTTTCCACCACGACCGGGTCTGCTACGGGTCGTGCTCCCGCAGAACGACCCGTCTCGACCGCCGAGACCGCCTCTCGATCAGGCCATGTCGGGATTGGAGAGGCGTCGACCTGCGACGACCGGCGTGCAGACCGGGAGAGACCGGGAGTGACCGAGCACAGGAGGATCGCTGAGGGTTTTTGGGGTGGTGTTTTTGGCGTTTTGGGGGATCGCGTTTTGGCTGTGCCTTTTTGTTTGATTGACTACAAGACCGCAGTGATCTCAAGCATATGGTCTCTGATAGGGTGCCAGAACCTAGCCTATATCTAGCCCATGGACGGTGACATCCGGTCCCAAACAAGAGCGCCGCTCCCTGTTTTGTGAGACCCACACAGCACTCGCCCTACTCAGAGGGCTATTTGTTGAGCGCTGCCACATCCTTGAATCATGAGAAAAGGTGGCTAAGGAACCTTGGGTAGAATTCCTCTTGGCTTGTCTACAAGCCAAGAGATGTTCAGTGTCGGCCTGGTGCTTGACTGATGTGCTTGCCAACCTGGCCGACCGGGCGGCTGAGATCTGTTGCAGGCTAGCAGAGATGATGGAGAACCCTGTGGGGGATGATGACACGGAGGGGATGGGATGTGGGGAAGTGGTGATTGGGAGGAGGTGCTTCAACAGAGACACATCATCTGCAGATGAAACACAGTTCCCTGTTTAGACGTTGAAAGGGGATTCACTTTCTGGCTTTTTGGGGTTTCTCTAGTTAAATAGATTGGGAAGAGCAATTCCCTCCCCCCAAGACTCCTCTTCCTCCTTCTATTTTCGATGCCCTCATTGGTAGTATTAAGACTCGCACTTTTGGTAGGAGTCTTTTTGGACTGTTACAGGAGGGCCACGGTTTCTGGTCGCCCCAAGACGATTCTTTGAACCAAAGGGACCCTCGTTCTGAAGGACTCTCAAGGACTGCTGGCTGGAGAGCCTCCTGACGGAGTCATCCTAGATCCTGACGATTGGACAATCCAATCTATAGCAAGTGACCATACAAATGTAATGGATGTAAAGGGACGTCGGCACTTGAGAATTTGGACCGGCTGTTGTATTTATTGTTTTTTGTTTCGCCTTGGATTTTTGGCTCTTTTCTTGGCGGTCGGCGGTAAGATGATTTCGGACTAGCCCAACAAGTCCAGCATTTTCAGTGTACCCAACGCCAATGTATTGCTGTGCAAGCTGCCAATTTGACCGAGAATTGCAAACAGATGTAGAGGAGTGAAGTAGTTCGAAGTCTTGAAACATATCATCTCACCGAAGATCCTCCGGAAACACTATGATTCCGGGACCAGTTGAGCTTCAGGATGGTTCGTCTTCTCTCCATGAAACATAGATCATCCTTCAAGGAAATCGGCCTGGTCAGCTCAGACGGGGCCATCTCGATCGATCCTCCCATGAAAAGAAGGGGCTCAACCGATGGACCACCTCGATGGATTGAACCGTCGGAGGACATCAACCTCTATCAGCAGTTGCACCAACTGGAGGCGCCAGCCGCGGCCGGATGTTCGGGCAGAGCTGGGAACGGATCTGATTTGGTCGGCTGTTTGGAGCCTTGAGAAAAGGGGTCCAACTCAACGCTCCACTCGCTGTGCTGAAGTCCCGATTCTGCCGGATGGTGACTTCCGCTGAAACCTTGTTGGCTGCTTCTGCGCGCTTTGGACGAACGATGTCCCGAAACCGGGAGTTCCCCAACTTTGGATCAAGGCTGCTGAGGCGCATGAAGCAGGACGGGTAGAAGGTCATCGCGAGACGCACAGATGCTCATCTATTTATGGGCCACCAGGGAAACCTGATGGGAAAAATAACTGTTATCGTAGATTCACACTCAGCAACTTGTTTAGTGGTTGAATATGCACCAAGCACTCCAACATCAGATCCAAGCTCCATGTGAGCATCGAATCATCCAAGCACAACGCATTCCTGGAACCCATTCTAGACCTGCTTTGGTGGGAAAGGAATGGAACAGTCCAAGCATTGGATATGCATTATATAACAATTATATATACATCTACATCTACATAATAATAATAATAGTAATAATAATAACAATAATATATATATATATGTATACTATATACGTATATATGTCAATATACTGTACTTCATTTTACAAACCAGACACGAAAGCGGATCTCGACTCCCTGACTGCTTGGTCACCGCTCGCACCGGAGTGGTGCACAAAGAGCGTGGGTCGCGTGAGTCGCGCGGTCGCTCACGATGGAGCGTCATGGTGCACGTGCCCAGCGACCCCCGGTGGAGCACAGGCGCGGACGGCGGAGACGACTGCCTGGTGGGTTGACCTGACTGACCTCGGACGACACCCAGGGTGGTGTACATTCTCAGTCACTATTTGCTTTTTGTTAGTATGTGTGAGAGTGCGAGTGAGTGTCCCAACAATTCAGACTGAGAGACGGTTTTCTTGCATCGACACTGTCAATGCTGGTGTTTCAGCTTCGATTTATACCTTCGAGGTGTTTAGTGGCTCGAGCTGTATTGCAGGTTTAGCGGTGCCTGTGTTGTCATAGCGGTTCATCTATCTATGCAGATCTTTGTGAAAACACTGACGGGTGTAACTCTCACCTTGGATGTTCAGCCTGACTACACCATTGAGAGAGTGAAAGAGCAAATTTTTGACGAAGCAGGCATTCCTCCCGATCAGCAGCGAATGATCTTCGCGGGCAAACAGCTGGAGGAGGGACGAACCTTGAGTGGCTACGCCATTATGAAGGAGTCCACTCTGCATTTGGTGTTGAGGTTGAGAGGTATGATTAGTACCTTCACCGAGAATGACCGACCGATCCCTTGATCGAGTACTTGATGCTGTCGGATGCAGAGCGAGACGTGGCGGAGGTTCCGCTGAAAGCCCTCAAACAGAAGGCGAAAAGGCAGGGCGCCGACCCTTTTCAGACCTTCAAGTTCACATCTGATGAAGAGGTCCTTAGTGACGAGGTCCGCCTACTGCTCTGTTTGTTCCTAGACTACATGTGGAGCCTTTCCGAAACCAAGATAGTTGATATGCGCATTGTTCTACCTGATGAGCTCTTCCGATTCCTGGCCATGCTTGGGACCATTGGCAATCCGCAGGAAGCAGATCTTCTTGAGAAACTCCATTCCCTGTTTGAAGAAATTCCTCGAGAAATTCCTCGGACGTATCCTTCAACCGGACCAAAACTTGCTTTGCGGATGACCCAAGGGCCGAGCAATGCATGCATCAACTTTCATTGTGATGGCACTTATGCGACCGGCACGGTGCAGATTGCCTTGAACAGCCCTGAAGACTATACCGGTGGACAGCTTTGTTTCTTTGTCAATGACCACTTAGAGATGCTTGAGAGACCAGCTGGATCTGTGTGCCAGCACCCATGCAGAGTGCTACATGGCGTGTCAGCTTTGATGGAGGGCACACGGAAAAGTCTCTTTGTTGTGGACTGGCTGAATGGCCTTGGCGAGAGGGGAGTGGTGGACGCAACCCACCATCACGTGCAAGGCTTCATCAAGTGGAAGCAAGATACTGAGGAGAAACGACCACGGGTACCAACGTGCTGTGCCTGTTTGGTCAAGAATTCTGACCACGCTTTGTTGCCATGTGGCCATCTTTGCCTTTGCTTCGAGTGCTCGGGGGAAATTCAAACGTGCCCGCTGTGCAAAGGGCACGTGGAAAGTAAACAAAAGATCTTTTTCTAGCAGAAATACATCATTGTTTGATCTACTTGACGGAAAAAAGGATGAAAAAGGAAAACCACGTACGATGTCACTGGAACTTCCAACATCATCTCCCGCTCCACTGGGAGGGGAGATGTCGTGGTGTAGTTTGTCGTGCACGGCAGAATGTGCGGCAGCACAAAAGACATGCGCGGCAGAAGACATACAGGTGCGCCCTGCAGTGGTCGAGTTCTTGATGTTCTTGTCTTCTGACTTTATTCCCTTGTTCAGAGTCGAGTCAAACATCAATTGCTGCAAATCCTAGTGCTTGTGCTTCTGGTTTCTACGGCTTTGAATGTCCCGCAACTTCCTAGTCCGAGTTTGAGAATCTCCGGCAGTTTGCGGTCATGTTGTGTCCCATTGGACCCCTGTTGACCAAGAGCGGATGACCGTTGGGTGGCACTCCAAGAGCCGGTCACACAGCCTTGATTCAGATTATTTCGTCCTCACATCTTTAGACAAAGGTTCTTATAACATCTTATAACCACTGGTCACCCCGTTGGACTCCGGTTTCAGACTCACAGTTTTCCACGCTTCTCGCCTGGTCTTTCCGGCTCCGAGCTCCGAGCCACCACGCCGCCCATCGTGCTGGGAGGTCGCCTCAAGACCTTTGCGCAGGCGCGTCACTGGCGCCAGGCATTGAAGCACTTGGAGGTGCTATCCGCGTCACCGGCCGCAGCGCAGCATTTGCTGGTCCGAATTCGTGTCAACTCGGTGCCATCGCAGCTCAGACTTCCGACGACCGAGTGGGCCGGTTTGGGGGTGTGAAAGGGCTCCTTTTGCAAGGTGGTCTTTTCAAGAGGTTGGAACGTGAATTGTGGGAGACAGATGACCTGAATTTGGAAGACTTGTCCTTGAAGGGATGGTAGGTGAGTGGCCAGGTGATCTGAGAATGAGAAATCCGATATGAACTGCAAAAGCCATCAAAACTGCTGTGGTTCCCGCCTTCGTTTCGGGGGCGGACCAATGCGCCCGGTCGATCGATTCGTATCGGCAGAGTGTTCGTTGGCAGGTCTTAGGCCAGAAAGCCTTCAAGTTCAACATCATCCACTGCAGCTTGGTGACACTTTGGGAGGATCTTGGTGACAAATTGAACCATAATCCACCCCATGGTGGAATCGACAAGCGGGATTCTCATTTTTTTCGGGAGTGAACGGATGCTTTCTGCATCACCAATACTGTCCGTGTGACTTATCCACTTAAACAAGTCTTGGTTGGCCTGGGGCAACTTTGCGTGTGAGTGATACAATGCGCAACCGTGCAGATATGGTTTTCATTTTGTTTGCAATCACTCTCCAGTCATTTCTCGTCGACAAGAGCGGGGGCGGGTTGAAGTCTTGGTATCCATTCTAAGGAGCAAGCGGGTTCGCAACTTAGTATAGCCTATACTCTACACTTTCAAACCCTCCTCAGCAACTCAATACAAGGGTGGTGGTAGAACCCATCAAACAGGGAAGCTTCCCAACTCCCCTTCCAACTGCTTTCAATCACATTTGATAGGCAAGATTGTTCAACAGAACCAACAAATCAATTATCAACAAGGGTCCAAAGTGAACAGTACACAACCCACTTACATCCCCTTATATACCTTTTTTCGTCCCCTCAATGGCTACGTTTGCCACGCCACCCCACCGCCTTGTCCAACCATGGTGTTCAGGCAATTCGGCTCTGGCCGCCTGCGCCTGGCCTCTGGCCGGACACCTCCTGCGACACGCGGAGCGACACGCGGAGCGCGCCGGCGCGGACGCCTTCACGGTGAACTCCGCGTGCGCGGCGTGCGAGCGCCGTGGCCGCTGGGGCGAGGTGAGGATGGGAGGATAGGACGAGGGAGAAGCGTGGGCGAGGTTGGACGAATGGATTGAAGGGTTTGAAACGGTTGGACGAAGGAAGTGAGTGTTGTTTTACTGAAGGAAGAGTTCGAACCTGAAGCAGTTGGAATCAGCTTTTTGGGGCGGGATGTATGGGGAAGTAGTTGTGATTTCTCAGCAGAAGGGGGCGTAATGGAATGCTGTGGGTGTGGAACAGAATCCGAAGATTTGCGTAATTTTTTGTAATTACTATACCCAGGTCTGCAGAAAACAAGTACAAAACCGGGACTATTCTAATTCCAAAGTATTTTTTTGATATTTTTAACCTGGATGATGAGGGTGTATCAACTATTCTGGGTGGAGCGGGTATGTAGCATTTCAATCCTCTCAGACTCTCAGAAAACCTTCCTGATTTGATGACCCGGAAACTGGTGCCCTCCTCTATGTGAGTTCCCAAGAACTTGCCTCACCAATTGAGCAGCAGCACCGTGCAACAACGTGCCAACCGATGCCCCACATGTTGCCCAACCGGTGTCACCGGTGTTCAACCAATTGGACACGGCGCCGGATGCACCAACTCCCGTCACGTTGTGGAGTTTTTGAGTATATAATTTCTTTTGCTGCATATTGTATATTGTAGTGTAGTGTATAGTTTATAGTGTATAGTGTAGTGTATATATTGTTCTTTGCACCCCCTGTTTTCTTGGTGCAGGATTTCTTCCCTCCGTCGCCAGGCGCTGCAGCTGCTGGCTTGGGCCGCGCGTGGTGCTCTGCGCTGCGAGGTGCTGGGCTACAACGGCGCCAGCAGCGCTGCGGCCAAGGATGGCAGGTGCTGCGGCCTGTGGATCTTCGGGCGGTTTTTTCGGGTGGCTTTTGCTCCAAAGAAATTGGAGATCTTCAGATGATATGAGCAGTCGCGGAAGTTGGTTCTGAATGAATCTGAGTGGATGATGGAACGTTGAGCGACCGGGATGTTCCCAAGATTTTCCATGATTGTAGAGGGAAAGCTCGGGGAGTTTCATTTGCCATGTATACCTGCTACATACTGCCCATGATAGCTTGCTGTGTGCTTGGCGATATTCGACCAAACTCCGAAATCCTGCGTGGTGATTCAAGAAACATCGCTCAACATCATTTTGGATTTTTTTTCTTGGGATTTGGATGAATTTGGTACCAAAAGGTTCTCCGTCTGCGGATTCTTGGAGTAAAACATCACACAGTTCCAGGGTTCCAGGCGCTTTCGAAACCACGCTTGTGGCTTGAAACGAGTGGATGTGGATGAGGCATCTGTGAAACAAGACCGGCTCGGGTGTTGATCGACGAGAACTCACGATTTGTTGGGACCTGGTAGAGCTGGCTGCCCAGACCTACCGGGGCGATGGATTACTGCGAACTCATGACACATCTCCACATCTCCAGGAGTCTGGAGGGTGCCACTCTTCGGTACCAAAGCTCCTATATTAAACATACTTAAGAGAGAGAGAGAGTGTGTGTGTTTGGTGTGTTTGCGTTGACACAGGTTTCTGCTTCGCATCTTGACGCAGGTTTCTCGTTCCCGACCGAACTGACCAGGTGGACGCAGAGCATGGAGGTTTTGAAGGAGATGCGCACCAACACCTTGCAGCTGCTCGCCCAACACCCCACGCGTTTGAAAAAACGCGCCAACGTTTTCTGGAAAGAGAGGTGGTTTGGAATATCTGCAGATGCAACATGTGATTGTTATTCTGCTCCAATAGTCCTGAGGGTTTGTTGTAGGGATTGTAGGAAACGCTCCTCCTCCCCAAGACCAAAGACCAAACACTTTGTCCTGGAAGCCCAGTATTGGATTTCAGCACAGGCTGTAGGAAGTCTTTGTTCCAAAAGATGGAGCATGCTGAGTCCTCAAAGCAGCTGGCCCCTAGTGCTGATGAAAGACATCCTCCAGCATCCAAGTAGAGTCATACATCATATAGATACAAGTGATTTGAATGCGGGGTACATCACCAATTTCTGAGAGACTTTTTGGAGCAACTCTCCTACTAGACCGGGAAGTTCTTTCTACTGGACTTCCAAAAACACACATCCAAACTGTACAGCTCGACACCACTCGACCCACGGACCGGTCCAGGCGGACGGTCATCAGCTTCGCTGCGCTCAGCGTGAAGTGGCCCTGGGCGCTGGAGACGCTGGAGCTCATGCGTCGCTCGGATGTAAGGCACGGTTTTGGTGGCCCCAGGCACGAGACCGAAGGGGCGAAGGGGCGAAAAAGAGCTGGGCGCCTTCATGTGGATACTCAAGAAGAGGATACCCGACATCCGACAAATGACAATCGATGACCAATTCCTGAGGTCAATTCTGTTGCCCCCGATTCCTCTCCTATGTGATTGCCGTTACTGTGACGTTGGATGTTTTCGACCGAGCCAATCCTGATCCCCTGAACGTAACGCCCATTGCTGATCTCGGCCTCAACAACGTCAAGACGCACATCTTGGAAGAACGCCATCTCAAGGCGCGAGAACGGCAAGCTGGTAAGACCACACAGCATCCCTGGCATCCCTCTCTGCCGAGCCCAGCCATCCTCCTCCTCCTCCTCTCCCTGACCCAGGTCACTGCGATGCTTCTCCAGGCGCCTATCACGTGAACGGTGCCATCACCAGCTGCGGTGCCTCCCAACTCTGGCGCGCAGCGCTGTTCCGCGTTGGAGACGCTGCGGCGGACGTGGTGGGGTGCAATGCGGCTATGAGCGCCTGTGAGTGGCTTTGGGCCGCGGAACTGCTGGAGCCGTGGAATGGATGGGGCTGCCGTGGCCGGTCAAAAGGTGTGACAGGGACAGATGTGACAGGGATTGGGCGGGTGTTGGAGGTCAGAGCAGATTTATATTTGGAGGCCAAAAGGTTGGAGGGTGAGAAATGGAGGTTGGATTGATCGGAGGTGATGGGGGTTCCCTATGTTCAGTGACTGTAATGGGCTCGGCTTCCAATCGTGATTCCCGGAAAGACAGAACTTTGATTTACATTGCTATACATTTCTATTGACCCTGCGTTCCGGGTACTTGGCGGAATCAGCCAGCCAGCCACCTATCAAAGTATCCGGCGGAATCAGCCAGCCAGCTAGCTAAAAAGTATCTGGCGGAATCAGCCAGCCAACCACCTATCAAAGTATCCGGTGGAATCAGCCAGCCAGCCAGCAAAATATCCGGCGGAATCAGCCAGCCAGCCACCAAAAGTACCCGGCGGCTGGCGGAATCAGCCACATAAAGGGGTCTGTATAAATGCTATGTTGTTATATCTCTTACACACCTATATAAGTTCAATGAGACTTCAAAGCTGTGGATTGCTGTACGTGTGTAAAGGTTATCGAGCGGTTGACGGAAAGGGAACTTGAAGTACTATACCTGGTAACTGAATTGTAGTTACCCTGGGTATCTATACCTGCGCCAGCTGAGTAAGAAGGGGGGTTCGCGGGGGTGGCCTGAGAAAGCACACTCGAAAGCAAAAACGCTGGCTTTCGTTTTGCCGCTTCTCAGGTTGTTTATGTTGTTTGCCTTGCTGGCAGGAAGCCTTCCCAGGGGGACGCGTACATGGCTTCACTTTTTGGCCCGAAGGGTTGATCAAGGAGGCAAGGTTCCAACCAATCAATCAGTCAATCAACCTTTACGCGCGCAAAAACATCGGCTCAGGTGGAAATTGCTAACAACGCTCTGTCCAATGTTGCTGCGCTCCCACAAGAGCTTCGTTCCCATGGAACAACAAACAGCAAACAACCACCAACAACAACAACAACAACAACAACAACATGACTTTGCCTTCCCACAGCGGCCTCAGCGAAGCATGTTTGCGATGCGCCAGCATGTCGGAAAGCTGCAGTGCAGTTTGCGTGGACAGCGCGCATCAGAGCTCTTTTGACACGTGGCAAACATCAGACAAAATGAGCTTCTAGGATCTGAAGGGTTTAGCCATCAGTGGCATGGCAATGTGACTAGTTATGTGACTATTATATAGTGGATCAATTTGTATTGTTGAACGAAACCCGAAGCCATCACTAGCCTACACTACTTGTGACGCCTCTTACCATTTGGCGCCAATACTTGTTTGGTCCATGTTTCCTTCATTAGCCAACTGTGTGTGCCAAAAGTAAAGAACATGTGAACTTTCAGCTATTTTTGAAATAACGCATTTCGACCAGATCAGATTCAAACTCGCTTTTCCCGGACCGCCGCCACTCTTTCTGGTTTTAGCACGGCGTGCGCCAGAACTAGTCACACCGCATTTGGGTAGTGCGGTGAGGTCCTCTGAACCTCTAACTGCGGTACACTGAAACTCCACGGCCCGTGGAGCTGGGACTTGTGTAAAGGACCATTCTCACTCAAAATAGACGGGAACTGTGGCCGGCACCTCGTCTGTACACGCGAAAAGTGATTCAACTGTACGCGCGAATGAGATGCCGGAAGCCACCTATGAAAGTATCCAGCGGAATCAGCCAGCCAGCCACCTATCACAGTATCCGGGAGAATCAGCCAGCCAGCCACCTATCCAAGTGGCCGGCGGAATCTGCCAGCCAGCCAGCCAGCCAGCTATCAAAGTATGCGGTGGAATCAGCCAGCCACCAACCTTCAAAGTAGCCGGCGGAATCAGCCAGCCAGCCACCAAAGTACCCGGCGGAATCAGC